TCTTACCCTGCATCCAGCTGCATTACATCATTGGTGACCACTTGGCGTGCTGTCCTTTAAGGTGGCAGTGTCACCCTGGCTGCTAAAGTCCTGAGGGTGTCTCTGAATGCCAGGCGTTGCTCAGCCCTGGGGTTCTAAAGTGGTTAGATGGTAGCTCCTTCAGCTTTTATGAGCTATAACTTCCTAGAGGTTTGAGTCAGATCTCTGCTCCTTTATTTTACCTACTCACGGGAGTTAGATAATGACCCTTTCCCTGGCATATCTTATTCCCAGCAACTGAAGAGAAACAGGTTTAGCCATACCATTGGTCCAGCTAGTCCAACAGTCTATCTTTAGCAGTGACCAGAATTTGATGCTTCAGGAGAAGACAATCCCTTTGCCTGCTCTGCACCTGCCATCTGTGTGATTCTGTAGGTGTTCAGTGGAGTGGGGCAATTCCTTCATGATTCAAGTACCCAGATTACAAACAGAGATGCGAAATTTGATCGACTGCATAGAAAACCTAACCTCCTGCACAAAAGCCTGATTTCAAATACAGATACAAACGCTTGGAACACTTGTACTGCCAAGTAAAAGATAGATTCCTTCTCCGTTTTGTAGAAATGAATAGGCCAGGAAGCTGCAACGTATCTGAAACTCCTGATGCCTTGCGAGTGTTTCCTGGTTAGAATTCCACATGCCTTTTGCATCAGCTCTTCATTCTCACACACTGCTAGCAGTGGACAGTGAAAATGCTTTCATTCTCTTGTTTTCATTTCTGAGTATAATTTTCCCTATGTGCGAGACATGGAAATGCAGGGTATATAGAAATCCTTTACGTCTTACAGAAGCAACAAATGCTGGTGATTGATATCCTCATTTCTTTGGAAAGGAGTTTAAAATGAATTGGCAATGGCTGAAATTACTCTACCTGCTGACATTCTGCCAAAGTTGGACACCTATTGAACTACTGGCAATCTACCAGGAATATACGAAATATTAATAGCACCTTCTTCAAACTTTTTAACCTTTTCTAATTTGCAGAGAGATTGCCAATTCCTTCTCTGCTGATATTTTGGTAAATTAATAAAGCAATTGTGGCTGTCACACTGTTGTTGGGTGAGATTATCTCTTGCAGTGAATTAAAAAATGCTATTGGAAAACTTGGTATAAGCACAAAGGTACAATTAAATCTCTACTGTTGCTATTCACTTCTCAAGACAGCCCTGGTGTCAGTGATAACAAACACACCTGTGATACCAACACAGCCTACAGATAACAACGGGAATGACAGATGATACCAGTCACCAAGAGCAACACAAATGGGACTGAGTGACAGGTATTATGCAAACATTTTAAGACAAAGCGTAGGGAGGGGATCAAGGATGAATTTATTCATCTGCCCTGTGACATACCAACGGCCACGCAATGGCTTCGCAAACCGCAGAGGAATATATGGATTTCTTTCTGTAGGGGAATGACAGGAGATGGAGAAGAGCCATATTCCGCAGTTATATAGCCTGCCGTGGACAGGAATGCTCATAATTATCTCAGTTACTTACTAACACTGCCTGTATTTGGAAAATGGAGGAGGAGTGGGAAATTGGGCAGAGACAGAAGGCAGGGGTGCATTTTCCCAGGATGGATATGTAGGTCCTTTGGGGTTTTCTTACCATGGACGGGTGCCAAGGGCTCATACACCACTCGATAGCCCTGCAGGATTCCATTTGCTGCTGCTGGCTCTCCCCAAGACACGTTGAGCGTTGTGCAAGTGATTTCTGAGAACGCCAAGAAGCTGGGTGTGCCGGGGGCTGGAAGGATCACAAAGCTATTGGATTGCAGCAGGAATATTTGGTCTGATATATATATTATAAAATGTTATTTATTGCCAAGCATAAATCTAAAGGAAACAAGCCAAGAATGGGGATTCATTGATTATATCAACACTTCCTGTAATCAATCCAAAATGTACGCTGTTCTGAGATAAGCGGACACTCCATTGCAAAACTAAAACTAAACAGAAAACAGGAGGAGGAAATCACAAAGAAACAAATTGGAATGATGGATGAGAACAGGGGAGAACTTCATTTCCCAATGGCTGCACCCTCAGCATCACAGTGTTCCCTCCGCTACAGGCCCAATTCACTGAGTTGAGTACACAAGGTATCTGCTGAGCACTGTGCCCATGCTCACAGGATATGTGTGCACTTGCAAATCCCCAGCCTGTATGCACACATCAGGCATTTTTACATGATTTCACACAAAAAGGCCTTAGCTTGCTAAAGTTTTAATGTGAACATTGGTCTACACATCTGGTGCACAGTAATGATATTTTTCTATTATCCCAGAACATAGACACTGTTGTGGCACATGGTCGCATGCACACATCTGCCACTGCCTGGTGGAACAAGGGCAGCAGGCAAAGTAGCCCTCAGTCTGACTGGTGTGTTGGGTCTTTGCACTAGAGCATATTTCATCTGCAATCTAGCGCAGCAATCTTCCACTTCAGATGGGAATACATGCTCCCAGCACAGGGCATCCATTCTTGGCTAGTTACAGGACCCAAAGAGAAACAGTGAGCATGGCATGGTCGCCCTCCAGAGACAAATGTACAAGGCTCTGGGACAGAAAAGCATCAAGAGAGTATACAACTCCGGTGCGTACTTCTCAGTAGAATCCAGTGACTATGGAACATCTGTTCTCCAAGGGCTGGTGTTTCCCCTGTGGGACCAGATCTCCAAAGATGCTTTTTCTGACAGTGTCCATAGCAGCAGAGAGCCATTGAAAAACCAACATGATTCTTCTGTGATGTGGCTTTATCAGAGTATCTCAGTTGAGTTACTCCTCATATACACCAGCCATGTGGGAGATCAGAAACAGGGCCATAATCGTTTGCAGGTCAATTATGACAGAGGGCATGGACAGATGACACAGTTATGCTGCCTTACACAGGGGAACGGGAGAAGTGACTTACCATGGTGCAGCTGAATTGGGCACAACTGTGCTGTCTGTCTGATCCTTAAAACACAGTAAGCAAAGCTAGCCTGCAGTAACAGACCCCCTGTTTCATTAAGAGGTTTAGCTTCACTGCAAGTTAGGAGCAGACACCTCAAACTGTTACACTGGATTAGTAGATGTGCACTCCTGAGTGCTCAGTTCCCTCTTTATCTCCACGCCTCTGCCCCGCACTCTTTACAATGATATAATATACATCTGTGTATGCTCAGAAATTCTGTTACTATTCCACCCTCTTCTAGTTCATATTCCAGCATCAATTTCAGCTGTGAAATCATTTCCCAAAGGATTGATTCTTATTTGATCTAAACTGATTTGCCTAGCTCCTGTAACAACACGCTGTAATGACTTATTCCACAATGATCGCCTCACAGTACTGCATTTTACTGCCCGAGACAAGAATGAAGGAGTTGTTCCAGAATAGGTCTGCAACACATGGCTGTGCGTCTTGGCTGGGATGCTAGCAAGCCCCCTCTCTGCCTACCTGCTCCCAGTAACAGGCTCCAAACACAGGAACACACCAGTGAAGTCACTCTGGGGCATCCCTTTGTCACTGTTCTCAGGACCGCACTCCCTGGCATGCATAAGAACAGCCATTTTTGATAGTCCTGGAGTGGAGGTATGTCTACGCTGTCACCAAGGTATAGCTGTACCCCCATGCACAAGCCCATGACCATGACCACTGCTTTGGAAAAGAAGAACAGCTCCATACCTGCCTGGAGCGTCCTGCCCTGTTTGGGGCTGCTTCTCGGTCCATCCCCTGCTGCGTTGAAGGCAGAGACGCAGACCAGGTATTTGGTATGGCTGGTCAGGTTTTTCAGCCGGACTGTTGTCTCTGGAAGGAAGAGGACCTTCACTTTTTCGGTGTCATTCTGACAATCCGTCTCCCAGTAATAAATCTATTAAGAACAGAGAGATGTTGCAGTAAAGACTGTACCCAAATTACAGAGTGTAGACTGTAGGGTAGGTGGTAAACTGCCACTGGGAAAATGGTGGCATTGTTAGCTCTGGACTCTCATTGAAATGATACGCCAGCATCGTTCACTGAATCCTGAAGTCCTTGCTTTATTCTTACTTAGACAAACTCCCCTTGAATTTAATGAGGGGATGTTATAAATGATGTGTGGGTATTATGACAGCACCACTGGAGAAGCATGGCCATGTCTGGACAGTCACCAAGCCCATAGCCGGGTGACTCTTAGTATGGACATTTTGGTATGGCTATGGCAAGCCCAAAGAAAGCTTGTTAGTGCAAGACATAGACTCTGTCTCCTTCTGAGGAGTGTCGATACAACCAGCATTACCACTTGGTGCTTGCAGCAAGCCCTTCAATCTGGGGGTGTCACAAATACGGCCCATGGTGTCCTGCCATCCAGGCTTTGGTGCTGTCTGTGGATCTCGGAGTTGGCACACAGGCAGCATGCAGGGTGTACTGGATGGCCCCAGGTGCCACTTGGGATGACTGGCTGGCTTGTTCCAGCCACTCTGGGACTGAGCTGAATATGGTACCTGCTCCAGCACGCATCTGCTTCATGCTAGATCTAATGGTGGGTCCCAGTCAAGTCGCATGTGCATCAGGGCCCTGGCGCAGTGGGGTGGCTGCTGCATGCAGTGCAGCCCCAGAGCAGCTACCATGTGTAACGTGGCTCCGAAGTAGCTGGGGAAGAACTGGGAAGCACGCAGTGTCCACTCCAGCTGCTCCAGGACCTGCACCGGACCTGAAAAGTGGGGCTGGTCTGTGCGTCTGATCCAGCCTGTGGACTGGACCCATGGAAGTCTTTTGACCCACAGGGCCAGGTGAGTTTGACACCCCTGCTTTAATCTTTCAGGTTCTCCTCTGCCTTTATTCTAATACCGTACTGGAGAGGGCAATATTGGCATTCCTGGTACCTTATTCTATGGGTGCTTCTCCCCTTCGTTCCCCCCACATAATTCCTTTCTGGATGCCATAACACTCCAAAGATGAATCTTTCCAAAGCCGGTGCCAACACTGCTTTGTGGACAGGCCTGGCCAGCATAACTACACAACAGCCCAAGGCAAGCCAGGGAGTTTTAAGTCAGAGCCAAGCTGTTAGAACTATACACATACAAGGGTAAAAATGCTTGACTTGATATATAAGGGTGCTTGTGACTGCCAAGATGTAATGCCAGATGATTCTCACTGGCTTGGCTTTCCTTCACTTACGGACCTAGTTCAGGGATGGAGGCAGAGCCAGGCACTGAACTCAGGCCAATCTCTGGTATTCGGAGCCTCGCCCACTCCCAGTCTCCAAGGGTTCGTTCCCATTCTGGGGAGACCGTACCAAAAACATCTCCAGCGTGCCGAGTTTCCGCCAAGCCCAATGCAATTACGCCCATTGTTTAACTTGGTTAAAGTTAAAGAAGTGAGATAAACCAGCTGAAATCCAGCCTGGCTCAGACTTGCAATCTGGAGAAAGTTATGGATTTTCTGAGCGCTCCTAATGTTTGACGTACCAACAGCTCTGTTCATTTGAGTCGAATTCTCTCCCCCAGATTTTCTACATCTTTGCTATTTGGAATAGACATATTGCCCGTGTACGCCAAGCTCCCTGCCCTGAGCTGCATTCCCATCCTCTTTTTTGTGTGTGAATATAAACAGCCCCTTCTCCTTCTCTGTCTCGTATGCTTTAGCTCTGCTTTGGGGACATCATGCCATTTCTTTCCTGCAGCCTGAGCATTGCTTTAATTTTCCATGTGTAGCAAGGACTGCTGTAGCTAGAGGGTTCTCTCACAGGTAACAGTGAAGCCAAGCAAGATAAATGAAAGCAAGAGACAAGGGGTATTGCCTTGTAGCCTTGTATGTTCCCATTCTGGCTGTCGGCAGGAGGTGGGTCCCAGGTGATCTCTAGTTGGCTCGCAGAAAGGGCGTTCACTTGGATGTTCTGTGGGGCCACTGCTGGTGCTAGTGAGAGAGAAGGGAATAAGGAAAATTAATAGTGACAAGCAGAACTAGACTCGTGTCCAGGTCGTACTCGTCCATTTGTGGAGAGACCCAAGTCAGACTCTGTTTATGCCACAACCCAGCTCTGAAGCCATCTAACATCCCAGAGAAGTCTCTGGGACAAACTTGCAACGAATGCAGAGTTGCTGGGTTCTCCGTCTCTTGGAGGTTGCTGGGTTCTCTGTCCCATGTGGACTAAATTAGGCAATGCATAAACCCAATCCCATCAGTTCTTTAGGGGAGGAAAAACAACGGAGAGAAATCGTTCTCCTTGTAGTCTTTGAGCTTTAAGGATAATTGTTAAAGCTGGCTTTTGTAGCGACTCTGCTATCCAGAATGGCCTGCTTCTGAAAGGAAACATGTAAAAAGAAGTAAATCACCTAAGCTCTGCCCCCCTGCCCCTTTTCCTTTAGTCAGAATTAAACATCAAGCCCGGTTTGTGTTACTGCAGTCTGCTGCTCCGAAGCTTGAGAATTAGAGCTGCATACACAAAGAGGAAGAGGGTTGGGGGACAAGAGACTCCATAAATCTGTCTCCAGAACAGTTTAGAAACAAATCAATTAGACACTGCTGGTATGTATGGCCAACGCTGTTGATTAGGATCCCTTCTTCGCTCTTATTGCATGAGATCTTCAAATACAAATCTTGAGCTGCCTTGGCTCAATGCGTTATTTGTTAGCATGCTAGTTATTCCTTCTTCTTGGTATGGCAGCACAGTAGAAAACTAATTTCTCCTCTTTACATGCACCTGGGTCACTCTTATCTTTCCCCTTCGCTGTGATCCAACTCAGCACAGGTGGAGCATCTTCCCCAGTGACTGGCATAGATGGTCTGTTTTCAGACCTGCTGTCTGCCTCTGGCAGGTCTTAATGAAACAGCACACGTTCTGCTTACAGAAACGATTCCTAAATGCATCCTGTCCAAGCTCCCAAAAGGGGAAGGAGAAGGCAGGGCATGAAATGATATTTCTCCTCCCTTCTTCTTCTGCATGGGCAGATGGTACCGCAGCCTTTGCCCTGGTGCCTAAGAAAGCCGCCTTCCTGATCCCTGCCCATTTACAGAACATTAATAGAAGTGATAAAACATTCACTATCTAAGTAAGATAACCAGGGCGATCTGCTCCTTTGGCGAGTTCTTTCTTTGGGAAAGAATGACCTTCGTAAGTCACACTTCGCCCCCCCCCTCTAGGGTTATAAAATAAAATAGTAATTAACACCCACTCAGCCTGACACCAACTATTTATTTTGTTCTAACTGTGTGGTTTCCATATTATCACTGCCCACCCTGCCGTTAATGGAAATGTTAATAACCAGCGCCAGGTTGTTGTGACAGATGCTTGGGCTCATTATCAGAAATTCTTATTTACCGCTCCATTAAACGACAGAATCGCACAAAAAAACAATTCAATCAAAAACTAACTGGAGGAATTTTAACAGCCACATTAATAATCCCAAACATAAATAAAGTTAATGTCTTTTGCATGTTTGCCATCAGCAACTCCATCGCAAAATTACTGTTGTACAATTAAAATGTGAAAGGTAAAATGGAGCATGGCTATTATCCCGGTGCTCAGTTAAAACTGTTTTATTTTTATTATTATTATTATTATTATTAGGTTGCTCTTTCAGCGAGAGGTGGAAATGCATGAGGTGACAATGGGCAGAAATCAAACTCGAGCGGGGCCTGCTTGGTCGTGGGAACTCACTTAATTGCTGCCCTGCAACCCAATCCTTCTCTGTTTCGCTGGGAATGTGAAGGTAGCAGCAAGCTGACTGAAGGGCTGTGTTCAGGGCGATGTTGTGCTGCTACACAATGCACTGAAACTCTTCCCTTCTGAAGACTTTTTTTTTTTTTTCCCAGAACACTAGAGCACGTGACCAAGTCTTCTGCACAAAAAAAGCCCTGAAAATACATCTCGGAGACTTGATGATGATGACATGCTCAGGGAAACAGCAATATGTACAATCACAGAGGAAAATGGATCAGTTTAACAATTTATTTTCTTGCCAGGTGATGACATTACTGGATGCCCTGAACTGACAGCAATATTCTGCTTTGAAGCTTTGTCTACAGCAACATTTTTCTTTGAATTCCCAGTGCTAGGTTAGAACCATTTCAGCTCCCCGGCTGCAGACAATGGTGGGAGAGCTTGGCGAGCTGGGCTGCTGTCATGTTGTCATTTAACCCATTTGGGAGCAGAGCCAGACAACACAATGGTTAAAATTTGCCGGTGATCATTCTAGGCTGACACTCTTCCACCCTGGAGCAAATTGCCGCTGGTGCCGTTGTGGGAAATCAGGAGGAAAAAAGTCAGTGCAGAAAAGACGCCGTTATTTATAAGTCCACAGCCCTGACTACGTGCAAGTCATGTTCACTTTTATGCCCCGCGAGTCTGTTTCTCTGCTCAGCTCTCCATGCTTTCTGAGATGCACAGATTTCTTGCTGACAGCAAAGGACAGCAAAATAGTGATGCTCATGCTTGATGCAGACAGCATGTTACATTAAGGGCGAAACCAAATGGTTTAAAGACTCTCCCAAGAGAGTCCTGTCTGAGACCCCAAAACATTCACTAGAGGCCCAGGTAGCCTTTACTAGTACAGGCTAGCCAATTATAAAAGTGAAATGAAAGGCCCTTTACTATCTAGGAACACAGTTCAAGATTTCAGAGCTCCAGGTTCAGAGCGTGGCTGTTGGCATCACTAATACGTAAAGCAGGGCAGGAGCTGCATACCTCACCCTGCTTAAGGTGCTGGTGACATTATCAATTGTAGCAGGAAAGACACAGAACCCCGAGGGTCTGAACTCCGCTCTTGGCAGGTACGCAGCGTTTCACCTCCTCCGAGAAAGGTATGTATTTGTCATTTCGAAGTCTGCAAATGTATTCCGTTCTGGACCCTCGTGCAGCTTTTTGTAAGCACTTCTGTTTTAATAGGATTTCCATTCACCTTTGGGGCAGATGCCTTTAAAGAATCACTCAGCAAAAGGGAGACCAAGTTAGGAGGAGAGGGAGCAGATTTTATAGCTAATTAATAAAAATAGAACAACCATGGGTTGGTCTGATGCCAACAGAACGGTGCCAAGATAGCAAATCAACAAGGATGCTACATGCAGATGCAAAAAGCGGAGCCAAGATTTGCTAACTCGGTGCCTAAAGTATGTACCTAAATCTATATGGAGGCACCTACCATTCAAATACGGCTTTTTGATGCTACTGAGCACCTCTCATTCACATGGAAGTCAGTGGGAGCTGCACACGATACCACCTTTACAGTAACATGATGGTCAACCTGCCCGGTGGCCATTCTCTGTTGGAGCCCAGGCTATTGTAGGAGACGTATCCCAGGTTCCTGTGTTGTTAATACGGGCGGTTAACCTCTCCAGGCAGTCCCGCATTTGGAACTTTTCATCAATTTGATGTTACTGTTGGCCTTTCATTTCTTTTCTTAGTGACAGTTGCTATGATGTGCGGTAACACTGGAGCACACTGTAGGCCACAAATCCTTGTGATTTATTGTGTAAACTTAATAACTTTCTTCATGAAACCCTCCTTGCTGCTACTGTTACGTCTGCTTAAATTTCTGGGTAGCCACGATTTCTCCCTCTGCTGATGTTATCAATGCCAATATTACACTAGGCAATTTACAGACAAGCCTCGGACAAGGTCTCTGCCCTGATGAGCTTACCGTTTAAATAAGCACACAGGTGAGAGCTAAAGGAAGAGCTGTAACAGAATAACTGTGGGCTAAAAGAGGCTGCTTTGCATGTATCTTCTCACTTTCACAATTCAGTTTAAGATGCTAACACACTCTACAGAATGAGCATTATTTTTTTCTGCTCTTCAAAAATACCTTGGAATTAATGCGGCTGATATTTATTCGCCAGGAAGCGTTATCTGTATTACGCTAATGACGACAGGCCAGGGCACCATTCTACCAGGCACAAACACATAAAGAAGAGACAATCCCTGAGTTAAAGAGCTGACAGTCCAAATGTAACCTTATATACAACAGGCAGCAGTAGGGTGACCACCTTTTCCAAATGCAAAGGTGGGACACATGTCCGCCTCTCCTCCTCTCACCCCTCCTGCCTCCACCGGGGACATGGCCGGAGCAGAGCTGAAGGGAGCAGGGGCGGATGCGGGCTGCCCGCTGCAGGCCTGGGGCTCCCCACCCTGCTGCCTTTCCCTGGGAGCCCCGCAGCAGCTGTGCACCCCCTGCCCACCTGGCAGCAGCGGGGGGCACAGCTCCGCACCACCACCCCTGCTGCTGCTGGGTAGGCAGGGGGTGCCTCACCATGGCAGTGCGGCCAGTGTGGGGCTCCCAGGATAGGGCACTGGAGCGGGAAACCCTAATGCCACAGTGGGCAACCCGTATCCACCCCCACTCTTTGCACAAATCCAGGGGGCACATGACCCCCCCGTCTCCCCATCTCCTCCCCCATCCCCTGGACGAGCCACCCGTGGCTCTGTTCCACTCCTTGCACCAGCCCTGGACCCCATGCACTGCCCAGGCTGGGCAGCCTGCCCCCTCCAGTCCCTCCCTTGCCATGGGGGCCTCGATCCACCTCCCCTATAGTCCCCACCCCACAAATTTACCTGCAGGGAGCTGCTCTCCACGCTACCTGGCTATATTCCCAGCAAAGTGCATAGGTGCAAGCATGCACATGCACATGCACATGCACATGGCGGCCCCTCCATCCCAACCCCAGCAGCCCCAAGCAGCTTGCAAGGGGAAACCTGCCACTTCTCCAACCCGGATCCCTGCGCAAAACTGCAAATTCAGGAAAAATGTTGTCCCAGAGTCATGTTGCTCTGGACCGGGAGTTGAGGTTCCCATCCTGGGACTGTTCCACCCAATTAGGGGTGGGTGGTCCACCTAGGCAGCAGGGCAGGGCATAAGGACACCAGGAGCCCACCCTGATCAGCAGCCTATGCAATGATCACAGAAAAGCAGCTGTGGGGG